GATACAAGCGGCCGAAATGAGTTTTCTCCGCAGGGTGTCTGGGCTCTCCCTTAGAGACAGAGTGAGAAGCTTGATCATCCGGGAGGGACTCGGAGTAGAGCCGCTGCTTCTCCACATCGAGAGGAGCCAGTTGAGGTGGCTTGGGCATCTGTTTAGGATGCCTTCTGGACGCCTCCCTGGTGAGGTGTTCCGGACACGTCCCACCGGAAGGAGGCCCAGAGGAAGACCCAGGACACGCTGGAGGGACTATGTTTCTCGGCTGGCCTGGGAACGCCTCAGGATTCCCCCGGAAGAGCTGGCCCAAGTGGCTGGGGAGAGGGAAGTCTGGGCCTCACTACTTAGGCTGCTACCCCCGCGACCCGACCCCGAATAAGCGGAAGAAAATGGATGGATGGATGGATGGATAGATCAATTTACACTGTGTGAAACGCCTGAGAAAACAGATGTGTTTTAAGCAGGGATTTGAAGTGAGGAATGGAGGTGGCCTGCCTGATGTTGGGGGGCAGGTTGTTCCAGAGTTTGGGCCCCATGACTGAAAAAGCCCGATCTCCTCTGGGCTTCAGTCTTGTTTTTGTAACAGCCAAAAGCAGCTGATCAGATGATCTCAGGGCCCGAGAGGGAACGTAAGGTTCCAGAAGCTCAGAGAGGTAAAGGGGTGCGAGGCCATTTAAGCATTTGAAGGTCAACAGAAGAATTTTAAAGACTATATTCGTACGAACAGGGAGCCAGTGAAGGGAGGACAGAACTGGAGTAATATGTTCAGACCTACGAGTTCCAGTTAAAAGCTGAGCAGCAGCTTTCTGGATGAGCTGAAGATGTGAGATGGAGGCCTGGCTGATCCCAGCATACAGTGCATTGCAATAGTCCAATCAGGTTGTGATATAGGAATGATTATTTTGATGCTTTTATGTCAATTAATACTTATACTCACTTTTGATGCAGCTTATCTGCCCAAAGTCAGGCCTGTGCTGCAGATGTGTTTTGGAGTAATTAAAGTTCTCTGGGGGATGCTCTAACCAGAAGACCTGGCCCAATCTTAAGGTTACGGTGACCCAGATTTTGAAGGACATGTTTTTATGAAGTCATCGCTCTGTTACACAGACTGCTTTGATGATGGAAAAACAGATTTAATTAAATCTGTCCTCCTGGCAACCATCAAACTTGTTTTCATCTACTCTCACGCGATCCGGTCGGGAAGGGGTATTTAAGGAGCACAAATACTGTGACAAAGTTGAAGTCTTATGTGGACCAGCGCGCGGTGCCATGCAGTTGTGATGTGAGTTCTGTCATTGGATCGAAAGGCTTCCCGATCACTTGTCACGGTGAGAGATACTCATATCAATTTGTGTGTTAAGAGTGTACAAAGTGTACATGACTTTGCTTGGCTGTTTTTCTTGTGGCAGATTAATAAATGACAATATTATTCTAGCAAGTTACAGTCCCTTGTGTTTCATTTTCCTCTTGTCTGAATATCTGGTGCCGATCGCTCACGAACCCTTTGATAAAGAATTTCATAATACAGGTTGTGACAAAGGCATGGACTAGTTTCTCAAGGTTGGGTCTGGACAACACTGGCTTGAGCTTAGCTACCTGTCTGAGTTGGAAGAAGTTTTTCTGCAGAACAGAGTTGATTTGTTTGTCAAACTTGAAGTCAGAGTCTAAAACCATCCCAAGATTTTTACCAGACTGCTTCAGATATGGCTGAAGAGAGTCCAGGTTGACAGGATCAGACGTGGCAGTTGAGCTAGGGCTAAAGACAATGACTTCAGTCTTCTCATTGTTAAAACTTAAGAAATTTGAAGCCATCCAGGCCTTAATGTCGTCCAGACATTTTAACAGAGGGTGAATGGAGCAAACACTTGCTGGTTTCAAAGGCAGGTAGATCTGGCAGTCATCAGCATAGCAATGGAATGAAAGACCATGTTTCCTCAGGATGGACCCCAGTGGGAGCAAATAAAGTGAGAACAGAAGGGTTCCAAGAATCGAACCCTGTGGGACCCCACAAGAAAGAGGTAATGAGGTGGATATATTATTACCAACCTTGACACAGAAACTCTTGCCACTTAGGTATGAGCGGAACCATTCTAATACAGCACCTGTGATCCCAACCCACTGTTCCAGCTGTGATATAAGGATACTGTGGTCAACAGAATCAAAAGCAGTAGTAAGGTCCAGGAGTACAAATACCACAAATTGACCAGAATCGTTTGATATCATAATATCGTTACAAACCCTTACTAATGCTGTTTCAGTGCTGTGGAGTTGCTTAAAACCAGCTTGAAAAATCTCGAAGATTCTGTTCTCATTCAAAAACTTGTTTAATTGAATGAAAACTATTTTCTCCAAGATTTTGGACAGGAAGGGAAGTTTTGAGATTGGTCTGAAATTTGAGCAAGTCGAAGGGTCAAGTCCAGGTTTCTTATATTAACGGATGAACTACTGCATGTTTGAAAACATCGGGAACCACACTTATCACAATACTACTATTTACAATAGTAAGAACAGAGGGTCCAATCGTGGGTAGAACTTGTTTGAAAAGTGACGCAGGAATGGGGTCAGCGGGGGAACCGGAGGGTTTCATCTGACAAACGACTTTGTTTAGAAATGGGAGTGAAATGGGTTCAAACTGTTTGAAGACAGCTGAGCAAGGGACAAAGACAGAGGGGTCAGTTGTGGACTGGGGGATGGATGACCTAATCAACTCTACCTTATCAGCAAAGTATCTGGTAAAGTTGTTGCAGATGTCAACAGAGGCCTCCATGCTGGCAGACCGAGGCACGTTTAAAATGAAATTCACGGTATTAAAAAGAACACGGGGATTATGACTGTTTGAAGCTATGATTTGGGAGAAGTGTTTGTTCTTTTCAGATTTAACGATGCTCTGATAATCTTTCAATCACGTTTTTAACATAATAAAAGAAACCTGTAATTTGTCCTTTTTCCACTTGCGTTCAGCTCTCCTGCATAGACGTCTGGCTGCTCTAGTGGTCATGTTCAACCAGGGTTGTGGTGCACGCTTTGATCACCTGATTTTTAGCAGGGCCATGAGGTCTAAAATCTTAGAGCAGGTTGCATCATGCCTACCAAGCAGCTCCTGCATACTGATACAGGCAGAGGTTTCTTACAGGAGCGTTTGCGTGCGTGCGTGCGTGCGCGCGCGCGCGCGCGTGTGTGTGTCAAAAAAAGCAAAAAAAAAGAAAGAAAGAAAGACTGTTTGAAAATAATCCAAGCCTGAGCTTAAAAGGAAAAATACTTAAAATCAGCAATTTCTAGAGCTGTTACGCTGAAATATGGTATAGTGGTAGCTGAGAGCATTGCTTAGCACATAGTACTGTCCAATCAAAAAATTTTAAATGGATGTGGCAACGTGGCAGTCCCCTTCAAAGTTTCTCCAGGAACTTAAGTACCGGTATTGATGGAAAAGCCTCTGAACCGGGTCCAGTCGGGCCGTACCGGTACTAATGGAAAAGGGGCATTAGTTTTACCTGCATTGTGTTAAGCGTGGACTCGTTGGCTGGATCATATCTTATCACATGAGCTTTTTGTTTCTCGTGTATTCACTGCACAGGGTAGTTGGCAGCAGGTCCAGATCTGTCAAGTTTCAGCCGTGTACACACCCCACCCCCACACTAAACCAACATTGTTTCAGAGCAAACTGGCCCATAATAAACTTTTTCCATCTAAGGAGCCTGGGGGAGAAGTTGGCGGTTAAGGGCCTTGCTCAAGGGCCCAGAATGGGGTCAATGAGGGAAGAGAAAGGTGTAGGTGTTTCACCTTTCCTACCAACATTTAGGGAATTCCAACCAGTGACCTGTGGCTCACTTCCCTAATCTCTGTGCCACTACTCCTCCACTACTGCAATGATAACATAGATTCAAAAAATGCAGTCCACTGAGATGAACAGTTGTTGAAATAACTGTGTGCACCGTAACAGGAAGTGATGATAGTAACAGAAAGTGATGTCAAAGGGGAACAGAGCAGTGCTACAATGGCTAACATCACACAAAAGAGGGAAATCTTGTTTCTTTCAATTATTTTGAGTTTCTTTCAGAGATAAAGATGAGTCAAAGTTCAAACAATGTTTCAAGAAATAAATCCAGGGAGTTCCCCTATCAAGTCACTTCCTAGTTCACTTTGGCTACTTCAAGTTCAAAGGAATATATGCCAGTTATTAAACATGAAGATGTTTACATCCACCTTTATTTGTAGGGTATTCATGTGACAGAAGCTGTAAACAAATAATTGATGTAACCAGTTTGTGGTTTGAATGACTCTCGGGTATAATCTTGACGTCTACTGCTCACTAAACTAAAGACATTCTGTGTTTCCTGAGGTCAGTTGGCTGTGACGGCCATTTTGACTTGGGTTGGTTTAAAAGGTTAGTCAGTTTCTGAGAGTTTGAGTAACATTTTCTCATGGCTCATGAGATGTTTTGGTAACGATCTGGACCTGTCCCAAACTGCAGACTTTTTGGCAATTTATATTTGACATCTTCTCTGGCATATGTGGCAAAACTGTACATCCATCACTATTCATCTTATTGTTCATCTCTGTGTGCACATGAACACAAACTGTTACCCCACCCTCACCTTTAGGCTCCAGGTGATAAAATGTGGTGCCACTGTCGTCGTTTATTGTGTATTTATTGTTTTTTTATTAAAACTATTGAAAGGGAAAAAGGTTCAAGATCAAGTTCAAGTATCTTTACTGTCATTCACATCATGCAGTACATGAGGTGGAACAAAAAACTGTGTACACAGGGTCCCAGTTACACCCAAAAATAGAATAAGAACAAACTTTGCTTTTGGAGTATGTGGTTATTTAACCCTGAGGTTACGGTGACTCTTCGGTGTGTTTGGAAAGACTCAGTAGGAGGTTCTCTTACTGTTCCAGGTCTGAAAATTCCTTATATTAACACTCATTAAAACGTTCCCCGGAAGGATGTGGCCCCATGAGGCCTCCGGTGATGGTTGCTAACTGCAGTCTGGACAGTGTCTTACCTGAGACTCATAGGGCAGGAAGGCTATGTGGATCTCAGTCAAGGCCTTCATGGATTTGGAGGCGCGAGACTTGGTCAACAGCCCAAACAAGGAGTCTGGAATGGCTGCAGGGAACGACAGAAAGGATCAGGTGACTGGCACACAGAAGGCTGCCATAACAAAAACTGTTTTAGCTTTGTGGCCGGGACATGATTTACTCACTGTCAGTGAAGAAGACGTGAGCTGCTCGGTACCTTGGAGCCTGGGGGTCTCTGAAGTCATCAATCAGACCCTCCACAGACTGAAACAAGACAAAACAAGGTTAGACTTTTTAAATGTAAAAATAAGAAAAAAGTAATGAATACTAAGTCTTTGTTTTCTTTTTCAAACAGTAAGAGCAGAGTTGAGAAGGACTGACCTCATCTGAAGGGGTGATCAGGTAGATGGCCTCCATGGTGGGCAGAGGCTCCCGGCGCTTCGATATATCCTCTACAACTGCAGTCCACAGAAAAACATGAAGTTTAGCATTCAGTATGCTGGTGAAGATTCTCAGTCATCCAGGACATGATGAATTCAAAAAGTGTTCAATACAAAAACAACTGGACTTTATTTGTAACAGAAGACGTTTCGCTCCTCATCCGAGGAGCTTTCTCAATTCAAAGAGCAGAGAGTGAGAGATACAGGTTATAAGACTGAGTGAGATAAGACACACACACATAAGACACACACACACACATATATGTAGATTGGCAGTTCACACCTAAAACCTAAAACAGTAGGTCTTTGTTCCTCTAATTCACAGACGAGGCCCCTCTGTTCCCATCAGGTGTGAAAACTGGCTGGGAATCTGTTTTAAAGTTGCATTATATGTTTTTGAAAGTGGGAATCTGAGGCCTCCTCCTCTGTTAAGAGACGGTTTTTCTCTTTTTACATAAATTGCTTCCTTCACCCCCCTCTCAAACCATCTGTGTTCTCGGTCCAAAATGTGCACATTTTGGTCCTCAAAAGAGTGTCCTTTATCTGTGAGATGGAGGTGAACAGCTGAGTCTTGTCCTGTGGAGCTGGCTCTCCTGTGTTGAGTCATGCGTCTGTGAAGAGGCTGTTTAGTTTCTCCAATGTAGAGGTCTGGACAGTCCTCGCTGCACTGGACCGCATACACTACACCACTCTGTTTGTGTATGGGTGTCTTGTCCTTAGGGTGGACCAGCCTCTGTCTGAGAGTCCTGCTGGGTTTGAAATGTACTGGGATGTTGTGTTTGTTGAAGATCCTTCTGAATTTCTCTGATACTCCAGCAACATAAGGGATGACAATGTTTTTACGTCTGTTGTTCTTTTTCTGTTTATTGGTGTGTTTTGTAGATTTCCTCGCTGACTTGACAAAAGCCCAGTTAGGATATCCACATGTTAGAAGAGCTTCTTGAACGTGTTTCAGTTCCTTTTCCTTCCCTTCTGTCCTTGTGGGGACGCATTCGGCCCGATGTTGTAAAGTTCTGATGACAGAGAGTTTGTGTTCCAGTGGATGGTGGGAGTCAAACAGAAGATACTTGTCACGGTCAGCGGCCCCCGCTGCCCCCCCATCTGCCAAGCCTCTGCCACCTCCTTCAAGCTGCAACCAGAAACCAACATTTATATCTTCAAACTATCATCCCACAGTCTTAATCATTTCCTTCTATTTCAAGTTTCTGTCTCTGTCTGCTTTTTATATTTTTTATTGTTCTGCTTTGTGTGTGATTTTCTGTTTATCTGTTTCTGTTATGTTCCTCTCATTCCTCAGTCTGCTTCTCCACTCAGTCTTTATCATTCACACCTGTCCCTCATCAGCCACTTGCCCAGGTGCTCTCGTTACTAACTCTCCCTCTGTCACATAAAAAGCCTTTCTTTCCTTCACTCCTTGTCCGGTGATTGTTCTATGTTCACAGACATCACAATCCTCTTCTGCCTTGTCTGGTTTCTGCCCCCCTGATGATCTGCTCTGCATTATTTCTGATCCAATCTGCCAAAAGTAAGTTTTGCTGCACCGACAGCCTTTTGTTTTGTTGTTAAAAAAAAATAAATTGTTTTGGTTTTTGAACTCCTGCCTCACTCATCTCTCTGCAATTGGGTTCCAACCTCGAGGATCGTGACAGAATCACCGGACCAGAACCCAGCAGAGGGATGATTTCTCTGTTTGAGTATTTTTGCCGTGAGGCAGAAAAAACTGCCCAGAAAGACAGAGAAAGGGAGGAGAGGAGGAATCCATTTTGGGGGACCCGCCTGGCCATTAAACCTGGGTCCTCACAGCCTCTCCGTCCTTCTCCACCTCACCGCGCCGCTGCACCCCACTGCCCACCTCCTCCTCGCTCTCCACCTGGTGGGGCCAATCAATCATCGGAGGAGAGGAGGAATCCATTTTGGGGGACCCGCCTGGCCATTAAACCTGGGTCCTCACAGCCTCTCCGTTCCTCTTCACCTCACCGTGCCGCTGCATCCCGCTGTCCACCTCCTCCTCGCTCCCCACCTGGTGGGGCCAAGCAATCATCGGAGAGAGGGGGGCAAACTGCTGGTCCTCCCCGAACCCAGCGCAAGAAGGGGAGAGCTTCGCGAAGGGTGGGGTTCATGGCTCCTCCACCACCTGCTGCTGCAGCTCCGTCTCTGGTCTTTGGTTCTCCAGCTGCAGCTCTGTCTCTGGTTCCTGGTTCTCCAGCTGCAGCTCCGTTTCTGGTCTCTGGTTCACCAGCTGCAGCTCCGTCTCTGGTCTCTGGTTCTCCAGCTGCAGCTCTGTCCCTGGTTCCTGGTTCTCCAGCTGCAGCTCCGTCTCTGGTCTCTGGTTCTCCAGCTACAGCTCCGTCTCTGGTCTCTGGTTCTCCAGCTGCAGCTCTGTCTCTGGTTCTTGGTTCTCCAGCTGCAGCTCCGTCTCTGGTCTCTGGTTCTTCAACTGCAGCTCTGTCTCTGGTTCCTGGTTCTCCAGCTGCAGCTCCGTCTCTGGTCTCTGGTTCACCAGCTGCAGCTCCGTCTCTGGTCTCTGGTTC